TCTTGGCACATGCACTAAGACTGTCATATTATCGACAGTGTGCAGTTATGTGTGCGTTTTCAGTTAGTCAATCACACTGGTATTCAGTCGGAAGAGTTATTGCGCTGCGGTCATCGCATCTGTGAGCGCCTGATCAACATTGGGCATCAATGTCGTGTTAAAGACACATTTACGGTTCTCCTAATTGCCCCATAGCGATGCTCAAAGGGACTCAAAAGGCGCGTCCTAACTATAGCTGAAGCTCTTGCTATCGGACGCCTTCAGCCGGAATTATGCGAGCAGCGAGCTCTCGTGCAAGCGCTAATTCTGAATTGGTCCCGACGCAGTTAGCAGGCCTCAAGGTCACCCGTCCGTCGTGACTCGTTTGAATCTGTTATTGATTGCTGTACATGATAAGTCCCCAGTTTAACTGTTTCCCCTATCATCTGACGTTCTTGTCCTTGTGCACAGCTAGCAGTAGCTTTTTGCAAGTTTTAGTTATCTGCTCCATAATTGTAGCGCCTGACGATATGTATGGAAAAGAAATTTCCTCGTAATTGTTCTCTTCATGTCTGGATGGGCATCATTTATGAGTATAAGAATCTCTGTAGTACTGTTTCTCAAAGGGTGTTCCGCGGATGCCCAGGGGGTCCGTGTGCTACTTTCAGGGAATCCGCGTGATCTCCCAAAGTGTTACAATTCTATTAGGAAATTTTATGGACGTGATCAGTCTATTTCACGAATTTATGACAAACATGCTGTGAAAATTTTTAAATCAAATCTAACGGTTTACATTATAGCCTTGTGCATTGCCCATGGAAAACTTACCTGTTCCAAAGAGGAAGCTTGTTTTGGCAGGGAGTTAAAATGTGAGCGAACGAGGCTTTCCAAGTGTGTTAATTTCACCGTGATGCCATGGGCAGTGGCTGGATGGGTTATTCTACGTCCGCTCAAGCTCACATAACCCAGGCTATGTCCCTCGAGGGGCAGCGAGAAGTATGTTATACGATAGGGCCCAAGTTTGCGGTCATTTCAAGTGTTACTATCATCCGAAATAAGCAAACCGGAATGAGAGGTCCGTTTACGGAATCGCGTCCACGGACGCTCAGAAGGAAAGCGTGGATATTTCTGTATTTAACAAATGTGCTCGTCCGATTCCGCAAATTCGAGGGAAACTACATCAGCGACTTTAAAAAGGGGTGGATCTTTCGTTCACTACGATACTTCTTTCAAAGCCCAACTGATCATAGTAACCAAATTCTTGGTGTGTTTTGCACTCTTGTGTTTAATTATTTATTTCCATTGCAGTAGTTAGACATTTGACATCAACAGGGACCATGAAATGAAGAATGGAATACTGCTAAATGTTTCACAGGAATATTCCTCATAGAATTCAGATGTAGTAGCAGTTGGATCATCTAATGTGCCTTCTGAGCATGCAGCAACTGAGATGTGCGATGTTTCTGTACTACCTGGTGTGATGCAGTATAAGTCTGTGCCAACCGGATCCTTTGTAACAGTGTGCAAGAGGCGGAAATACAACGAGATTTATTTTCGTTTTGGATTTATGGAGTCCAATAATTGTCCACAAGGTGACTGGTGTAACAAAGTTCTTCTGAACATGGTGCCTATTAAAATGCAGCGGCATTTTGAAAAATTCATACGGACTGTAAAGACAGAAAAAATACTTACAGCGCATGAGATGAAATATTGAAAATATTGAAGTATTGAAATATTGAACACTGAAACGTACATGCTTCACGCGTCGCAGACTGTAGAAAAAGCTACGGAAGCATCATGGTTGGCGGCGTCCAGTTCCGGATTTGCCTTTCACTGTTGCCAACCACATGACACCTGCGCCTACAGAGGGTCCACGTGTGGCTTGCGCTGCACCGCCCACAGCTCCAACCACACACCCCATATCCAGTGTAAACCCAAAGGAATTAGACCGGGAGGCATGTGCATTGGAACCACGTTTCATCAACGGAGCCGGCCCATACTCCTTCACAGGCAAACACAAGCATGCTGTATTTGGGGAATCAATCGCACACAGGGCTGTGGCTGGACCGTAGTCCGCTTTACACTGGGTGCATGGAACCACTCTTCGAGCCTTGCACGACCACAAAGACCGTGCACCCTCTGCCCTCCAGCAACGACCAACTGTCTCCTGGAGCCAGTATGGACGAGGTAGTGTGTAATAGACAGTTAGGCACCTTGTCAACTTGCACATCAAGCGCAGCCTCACCGGAGATATCAAGCAACATCCAATCACTTGAGAAAGATGACAATGAAAATAAATCGAGTAATGCACAATGAAAGGGTGACATAAATCTTAGAGTAATGAGCATCTGAATTAAATTGTTTACAGAAGTATGCGAGAAATGTTCACCAGGTAAGAAATTATACTTTACCGAAATGCCACGAACACAAAAATGTTTTCGAAAAAGACTAGAATTGGCTTAAGTGACATGTGCAAGTTTATAGAAGCGAGTACAGGTAGACATTTATATGAGATAGCAAAGCATTGGGAGAAAATTGAAAACCGACCACCTGAACTAAACAGACTTAGCAAGCAAGCAAACAGTGACATAAATCTTAAATTAGTGAACATATGAAATATGTTAATGGTGGATGTTTGTGAGTAGTGTGAAGTTCGAAGAAAGTAGAAGCCACGATTAAAATTCACGCACAATAATATGCCTCGACGGGGAGTCGAACCCCGGTCCACGAATTTCCGGTCCGTTGCTCTACCACCTGAGCTACCGAGGGCTGACGATTAGGTGCGCAAATTTTAACACATGTCTTCTGCTTGGTGCGCGACGTGTTGCCAATAAGCTCACAGTACCTGTCCTGATGTTGCAGATTGGCTCACTCACCCGTCACTTCCCAATAGACCGAAGTTCCTGTCCTTCAGACGTCCAATGGGCGATGGTAGATTAATGGTGGATGTTTGTGGTGAATTTTAATCGTGGCTTCTACTTTCTTCGAACTTCACACTACTCACAAACATCCACCATTAATCTACCATCGCCCATTGGACGTCTGAAGGACAGGAACTTCGGTCTATTGGGAAGTGACGGGTGAGTGAGCCAATCTGTAACATCAGGACAGGTACTGTGAGCTTATTGGCAACACGTCGCGCACCAAGCAGAAGACATGTGTTAAAATTTGCGCACCTAATCGTCAGCCCTCGGTAGCTCAGGTGGTAGAGCAACGGACCGGAAATTCGTGGACAGGGGTTCGACTCCCCGTCGAGGCATATTATTGTGCGTGAATTTTAATCGTGGCTTCTACTTTCTTCGAACTTCACACTACTCACAAACATCCACCATTAATCTACCATCGCCCATTGGACGTCTGAAGGACAGGAACTTCGGTCCATTGGGAAGTGACGGGTGAGTGAGCCAATCTGTAATATGAAATACGTTGTTTACAAAAAATACGTTTACAAAAGAGTACGAAGCAAGTTCGCGAGGTCAGGAAGGTTACTTTACGGAAATGTTACAAAGATGAAAATGTTATCGAAATAACTACAAGTGGCTTGAGCGACGTGTGCAAATGTATAGAAGCGAGTATAACTAGGCATTTATATGGGAAAAGAATGCATTAGGGCAAAATTGAAAACCCACCACCTGAAATAAATAGACTTAGCATGCAAGTACGCGGTTAGTAAATCGAATGCAGCGTACCTACAAACGCTGCGCCGGTGCTGCCTACGTTCTCCGCAGAACCCGTCGGCGCTTCGGTAGTCTTCCCGAGTGGCCTCGCTCATGGCTCACTAGGCCTGCCTGACTAAGGCACTCGCGACCGCATGTGATGCAGCACCATGCACTTGATGTCGATGGAATACAATCCATCGGTGCTTGCCGCTTCCGCACTTGCCGCTTCTTCTCTGCATGCATAAGGTCTTTCTCCCGCACTTCAGCAACTGCCTTCGTGATGAGATTGCGCCAACCGATTTCGATCCCCATGACCTGCAATCAAGATAAGAACGTGTGAGGCTCACTTTGATCATGTTCTGGTAGCGTAACTATGGTTTCCCTACGTGCCGCTTCCCAATACTCAGCTGACCGTATAAGAGTTGTTTCGGTATCTGAGCCGAATCCATACGCCACACATGACCGAGCCATCTCAGGTGTCTCAGTAAAAGTATGCAGTCCACTGCATACATCCCTCTTCCGCGCAACACTTCCGTGTCAGCAAATCTGGAGCCCCACCAGATGCGCAAAATTCGTCGCAGACACTGCTGATGGAACCGCTCGAGATATCGCACATCCCGCCGGTACATTGTCCACGTTTCACTGCCGTATAGAAGAACGGACAGTACCATGGATTTGCACACCATCAGCTTTGTGCCAATGCTAAGCTGATGGTTGTTCCACACTCGGTACTCAAGCTTCCCGAATGCTGCTGCTGCCTTCAGCACGCGAATACGCAACTCAACATGTAGCTGCTGGTCAGTCGACATCACACTCCCAAGGTGGCTGAAGCGGTAGGTGGTTTCCAATACTTCAGCACCAATGCTGATTCGCGGCAATATTGAAGATTGCACCTCCGGTGAAGGCTGAAAGAGACAGACAGTTTTGCTTGTGTTGATGGTGAGCCCGAATTTGGCCGCTGTGGAAGCCAGAGCACTAGCCATGTGCTGCAACTCATCCGCGCTGTGTGAACACAACGCACAGTCGTCAGCAAACAGCAACATACGGATAATTGTCTCAGAGACTAGAGTCCTCGCACCGAAACGCCGGATGTTCAGGAACCCACTATCACAACTGGACTCTAACCGCAAGTACGTATTTCAATTCGTAGCGAATAATCAAGAAGACGCGTCAGTCTGGCGCACAGTGTACTGAACACTAACGGTTTACATGTAAGCACGGAACGTTAGGGTGTGTCCTTGAGTGCGTGTGTGCGTGCCATTCTACGTGTGTGTGTGTAGGGCCAATCAGTTTCACGGTCATAGAGAGCGATTATTGGTTGAACACGTAACAGTCCTCCCTGTTTTGGCTGACGTTACAGTCATGGCTGAAAACGTTCGATCGGTTTGCGAATCCGGGTCGATCGGCGTAATTGAGTTTCCCCTGTTGTTCTGTGTTCGTCGTGCTCTGCAGCTTGCTCTGCGATCTCCGAGTGTGACTGACTCACGGCAGGTGTGTCAGTGCTCCTGGGGCGTACATGATCTGAGTGCCGGCGAACAACCCGGTCGTCCGGAAGCTGCAAATCGTTTTGACTTCCTGAAGAATCGAGCACAGTCGCCGGCTGGCAACATTGTTCATGCGGTAACCTGGTGTAAACATGTTGATGGTCCTGAAATGTAACTTCCGGCTTTGATTCCTCTGAAGACACAAACTTTTTCTGACGCTCCTGTACTTTAACACACGGGTTCTCAGATTTCTGCCGAATATCAGTTCCGCCGGGGATTTCCCGGTAGCCTCAGTGGGTGTAGAACGGTAGGAGAATAGGAACCGATCCAGTTTTGTTCGCAATGTTCCCGTTCGCTGCTTTAGTAAGCCTTGTTTCACAGTTTGTACTGCACGCTCCGCTAATCCGTTTGACGCTGGGTGATACCGGGCTGATTTTACGTGTTGGATTCCGTTGTTGGCGACAAATTTACCAAATTCGGCCCTGATAAAAGGCGAATCATTGTCTGTACAAATGGTTTCCGGAATGCCAAACGTAGCGAAGGACGAGCGCATTTTAGTGATGGTGGATTCGGCTGTCGCCTGAGTAACTGGATGTAGGTCAATCCACTTAAAATGTGCATCAATAAGTAGAACAAACATGGTCCCGTCGATCGGTCCGAAGTAGTCGGCGTGGATACGCTGCCAGGGCTTGTCGGGCCAACGCCAACGGTGTATTGGACCTGGCGCCTTGCTCCGCTGATACGCCTGACAAATATCGCAATTCTTCAGTAAGTTCTCTATGTCTGAGTCGATGTTGGGCCACCAGCAGTACCCTCTCGCTAGTGCCTTCATCCTCGCCACACCTTGATGAGCATCATGGAGCTCTTTAAGTATCTGTGAACGCGCCTTGGTGGGTGGGACTAGCCGAGAGCCCCAAAAAACACAGCCGTCGAATAGACTCAGTTCGTTCTTCCGAATCATAAACGGTTGTAATTCAACTGTCCCTTCAGGGGGCCAACCCATGTTCAAAAAGTGTTTCACCATTGATAGCACGGGGGTCTCGATCCGTCCGTTGACGGATTGTTGAACTCCGTATCGGTGTTGTGTCTAGATGTTGCCTTAGATTAACCAGTTCAAACGGAGGGTCGTGTTCATGTGCAGTTTCCGTGATCGGCAGACGGCTGAGTGCATCAGCTGTGCAGTTGCTGACGCCGGTAATATAAACAATCTTGTAACTGTAAGCACTCAAGGTTATAGCCCATCTTTGCATCCTCGGTGATGCCATTTGTTGTATACCTTTGGTTTCCCCAAACAAGGATATCAATGGTTTGTGGTCTTTATGACGCTCGAAAACGTTTCCCCATAAATACTGGTGAAACCTCTTAACTCCGAAGATAACGGCTAGCGCTTCCCTGTCCAGTTGTGAGTAGTTCTTCTCCGCCGTCTGTAAGGTGCGCGATGCATATGCTATGGGACGTAAAGAACCATCGTCCATGCGGTGGCACAGGACAGCCCCGACCCCCCAAGGGGGCGCGTCGCACTGAAGTATGAGTGGCTTGTTAGAGTCAAAATGGACTAACGTTGGTGGCGAAGCAAGAGCTTGTTTTGCTTTATTGAAGGCATCTTTTTGACAGGAACCCCAACACCATGATGCATTTTTGTGTAACAGCTCATTTAATGGCGATAGAACCGTCGATGCATTAGGCAGGAAACGGCGATAGTGAGATAGCATTCCTAAGAACGAACGGAGTTCATCACAACTCTTTGGCTCTGGTCTTTCTAAAATAGGTTTAAGCTTGTCATTTAAAACATGTAAAGCGTGTTTATCAAGCCGGTATCCAAGGTAACAAACGGAAGGTGAAAGGAACTCACATTTAGACCTTTTCAATCTGAATGCACTTCGCTCCAAACGTTCGAGCACGACCGCGAGTGTTCGAAGATGCTCTGTATCCGAGCGTCCAAAGATAAGAATATCATCCAGGTAAGCACAAGCAAAAGGAATGTCCTTCACTAGGTCGTCAATAATGCTCTGAAATCGTCCGGGGGCGGAAATAATGCCAAAAGGTAAACGAGTATATTGAAATAGTCCCATGTGCGTGGTGATGTTAGTAAGTTTCCTCGAAGGTTCATCGAGCTCTATCTGCGAGTACGCATGACTCAGATCGAGTTTGGTAAACTTTTCACCACTAGCTAGTGTTGCATACAAGTCATCAATACGTGGCAAGGGGTACCTGACCAGCATGGATGCTTGATTTATGGTTATCTTGTAATCACCACAAATCCGTACGGAGCCGTCCGGTTTGGTTACTGGCACAATTGGAGTTCCCCAGTCTGAAAAGTGTACAGGAGTAATAATATCTTGAGTCTGTAGGCGCTTTAGTTCCTCTTCAACTTTAGGCCTCATAGCGTATGGTAGTGTGCACGCCTTAATGAATTTTGGTCGAGCGCCTTCCTTTAGTTTTATCGCAGCCTGAAATTCTTTCAACTTCCCAAGCTCCTCGGAAAAAACAGCTGAATGTTGTTTAAGTAATGTTTCAAGTCCGGAGATCTCGGTGACTAATTTTACCACATTCATTGTATCCGGGAAAGCACGTATCCAGTCTCTTCCAAGCAGATTTGGACGATCCCCGGGGATCACATATACAGGAAGTGTGCGTATTTTGTCGCCATACTGTGCCTTCATGAAGCATTTACCAAGGACACGTATAGGTTCACCGGTGTATGTGCGAAGAACAGAATTGCAAGCGGATAGGTTCGGGAGCGTTTTTACAGCGTTTTCCCGGATTATCGTCACGGATGCTCCTGTATCGATTTCCGTCTGTACCTTTTGTCCTTCAATGTAAATCTCTAGAGTGTATGGCGCCGGCTGCATGCTAGAAACGGAATTAAGCCAAATGGATTGTAATTCAGGGTCGCTACCATCAGACTCGTCCACAGTTTTGATGGGGTTTGCTCCTTGATAAGCCCCACCTGAACGTCGCTTGACCGATCTACACACTCGCGCCAGGTGGCCCACCTTCCCGCAGCTTCGACATACTGTCTTCTGATGCCGGCAGTCGGATGGACAACTGTGCTGCTCACCACAACGATAGCACACAAACAAGTTGACGCCAGTGGGTGGCTTTGGTTTTGGTGTAGTGTTAATCAGTCGCAGCTCATCTGACGAGTCCTTCAGCGTAAATGTTGCGCGTTGTTATATAAGGTGTTCCCTCTGCCGGGCAATCGAGCTGGCCGTCTCCCAGGTCAGTGAACAACCATCCTGTGAAAGGAGCTTCTCCCGCGTGCTCTGGTCCGAGATTCCGGCTATCAAACATTGGAGTAACATGGTCTCTTCAAATCTCGTTGGATCAAATTCATTGTATTTACAATCAGGTGCTGCTTGTAGTACACGAGCGATGAACTCGTTCACACTCTCATCTAGTTTCTGGCCGAGTTTCGAGAAGTAGTATCTAGCCGTAAAAGCATTCTGAAGAGCACTCCAAAGAGCCCTGAAGGTTTCCAAAGCGCCGGTTATTGTAGAAGAGACTTGATCAATACGAAGTGCATCGAAATACCTTTGACGCTCATCTCCAAGAAACTGTCTCAAGAGCTTCCCTTTGTTTTTCTCAGTAAGAGATACTGCTGGATTCAAGATTGGAAGCAATTCCAAGTAATCCGTAAAGGTTATCCGCCATCTATGCCACGAGTCCAGGGAAGGTTCGTCGGTAGAGCACGACCAGAAGACCGGTGGAGTAATTGTCATGGACATGTTGACCTCCGTCGCCAGATATCACAACTGGACTCTAACCGCAATACGTATTTCAGTTCGTAACGAATAAGCAAGAAGACGCGTCAGTCTGGCGCACAGTGTACTGGACACTAACGGTTTACATGTAAGCACGAAACGTTAGGGTTTGTCCTTGACTGCGTGTGTGAGTGCTATTCTACGTATGTGTGTGTGAAGGGCCAATCAGGTTCACGGTCATAGTGAGCGATCATTGGTTGAACACGTAACACCCACCATCAATACGGTGCTCCACACGAACACCGTAAGCAAAAGCCGATTAGAAAGCACAAGACATCATGGCATGAAGATATATATTAAACTGGGCAGGAGCTAAGACTTAGCCTTGATTCACACCAGAGACAACTGCAAAGTCATTCGAGGTCTCTCCACTCAGCTGCACCCTCGCTCGCATACCACTGTGCAGATATTCAATTAAACTTACAAACTTACGCGGACAACCAAACTTACCCAACACCAGCCACAATGCCTCGCGGTTCACCGTATCAAATGCCGTGGTGAAATCAACAAAAAGCGAGTACAAAGGCTGGTGTCGTTCTCTGCACTTCGCTTGCAACTGTCGAGCCGCAAACACCATATCTATAGTGCTGCGACCCGATCGGAATCTACATTGCTCTTCCACCACGTTAGATTCCACAACCTGATAGGCGAGGCGGTTGAGCAGGATTCGGGCAATCACCTTGCCCACACAACTCAGCAAGTTGATGCCACGATAATTCGTGCAACATTGCTTGCTGCGTTTGCCTTTGTACAGTGGTAGCACAAGGGCATCCTTCAGCTCAGGAGGCACCTCCTCCTCAATTTACACGCGTTGCACCAAGTGGTGCAGCGCAGTCAACAACGCGGGTCCACCGTGTTTCAATACTTCAGGTGGGATCCCGTCACCTCCGGCACATTTGCCGTTTCGCAGCTGTGCAAGTGCTCTCTGCGTCTCATCCAGTCTCGGCGTATCCGCCAGATCCGCCTTCACATCGTGCTGCTTCAACCCGTTCAATGTAGGTCAATCGATCTCTGAACGGTTGTTCAAGAGACAGTCAAAGTGTTTCCGCCAGTTCCGCATTGTGTCTGCAGTCTGTGTGCAGGTAGCGCCTGAACTACCATCCATCAGTGTCCTCACTGGCGCCAATCTCGGTCCATACACCGCTTTCAAGAAGTCAAAGAATTCCTTATGTTGACAGCGTTCGGCGTAGCATTCCATCTTCTTCGCCTTCTCCGTCCACCATGCATTTTTAATGCGACGGAGCTCTCGGGTCAGTCGTCGTCGATTTCGCCGAAATTTTCTCTTCTTCCCCAAGTCACTGGGATCTGCCACATGTGCAGCAAATGCTGCATGCTTTACAGACACCAATGCGCCAATCGTAGCGGTGTTCACATTAAAACAATCAAGCCGCATACAGTTTATTCGCGCGATGGTCTCCACGGTAGCAGCTGTCATCTGGTCGCGAATGTGGTGCCACAGGTCGCCCACTGTGGCTATACAGTCCACATCACCACACAGGCGTGCAGCCATCGCCTTCTCCAGCTCAGTACGTTTCGCCACAGTACCGAGGGAGAGAATGTTAAATTTACGCCGATTCACGGCGGGAGTGCAATACATCGATTTACTAAAATATATGTACAGTTTGGTGCGCACCAATCTGTGATCAGTGCCACACTCAGCTCCACGCAGTACACGTGTCATGCCCACTTCACGCATATCCTACTGACGTACAATGACATAGTCGGACAGGTGAGCGTAACCACTCCGTGGGTGTATCCAGGTTGCTGTATCATTCGCACTCAGTGCAAACCGAGTGTTCATGATCGTCAGGCCGTGAGCGGCACGCAGTGAGAGCAGCCTGTGTCCGTTTGCATTCGCTGAACCGATGCCATGCGGACCGATAACATCTGTCCACGCTGATGCATCACGCCCAACGCGCGCGTTGAAATCACCCAGCAGAAATGGTCGGTCGCTCCTCGGCACAGACCCGTATCACGGAGGATAGCTCAGTGTAGAATTGATGACGCGTGTCATCAGGAAAACACATGGTCGGACCGTACGTTCTTATAAAAGTAGCAAACTTACCTCTTCCGAGTCCTAGGCGAACGGTCATCAGTCGCGCGCAGATGCCCGTTGGTCCACCCACCAGCTGGCCATTCAGGCCATCGGATATTGCAAATCCGACCCCATGTTCCCGTGGTGCTGAGGCGGCGTTTTCCACCCAGTAGAATGTGTAGCCAGCACCTGCTTTATGCAACTGATCTTGCTCAGCGAGCCGAAATTCACTGAGCGCCGCAATATCGATGTTGTAGCGTGCCAGCTCCATCGCGACGAGTGCAGTGCGTCGCTCCGGGCGCTCGCTGGAATTCCGGTCCAATAATGTGCGCTCGTTCCAGCACCCGATGCTGAGTGCTTTGCGCGCAGGCATACGATTGCATTGGTGAGCAATCGCACGCGAGGTGGTCGTTGTGTTTCGGAGGTTTGCTTGAGGGACTCCATCCGGAGCCTTTGGCTCAATAGCCTGACCCACAAGGCAGTGGGTGGTTTGGAGGTTTGCTTGGGGGACTCCACCCGGAGCCTTTGGCTCAATAGCCTGACCCACAAGGCAGTGGGGAGCGGATCCAGCTCGGGAATGTGATTGCAGAGACAGATGGCGATCTGCTTGACGGCCGTCACACGCAGCCTTTGAGGTACTGAAACAATTATTATATGTTTTGCTACCGTAGTAGGATAAGCACCTGCGACCACGGCCAGACGCAGGTGGGTTTTGGCGGGTTTACACCAATTTGACCAGGGGCTGCCTGGCTTGAGGCGGGCAGTAGCAAACCATTGAACACCCAGAGATGTCCTCCCACCGTTAGAGATAATGCTTGGCGCTCGTGCTCTACGCCAATCGAGTTGTGAGCATCATACATAGTTAGATATCGTAAAGCGCTGACAGCAGAACCGAGAAGCGTATCCGGCCATGCATACAAAATGCATGGAGATGACCAAAGACTCTTCCTTTCAAAAAGCGTTTCACAGACTGTCTCTGTGTGATTTCTGATACAAAGCGAACGATGTGTACCTTGTCATGGTAGATAGCTATCGCCGTGCTTCTCCCATTTGCCACAACTTAGCTGTGTGAGATTGCATTCTCGCATTATATATACACAAAACATAGTACCGAAACAGACCTGAAGCGTAACCAGATCCAAGGTTATAGCTTTCCTCAATAACACCTAGCATCAAACAAATCAGCATCGCATGTCGGAACAAATGTTATCCCAGGTATTAAGCCCTAATATAGTTACATTTGCATGTAAGTTCAACAGCTTTCACTTTTGTCAACATAAGTGAACAACTGTGCAAATTCAGTGTACAGCGAAGAGCTCCACCTCATTCTTATGTTATTAAAGCCTAGTTCTGTGGATAAGGAAAGCTTAGGGATCCCTCGTGCTAGGTTACACTACAATGGGGTGCACGTGCTGAAAATTTTGAGAACGCCTGCTCTATAGTGACACACGACATCCTGTTGGCCGACGGTGTCTGACCGATGAGGAAGCTACTCTGCATTGCGTGTGTGCACCTTAGCCAAACTTAGAAACGCACCAATTTGAAAATGCTTATGAACCAAGTTGAAAACGCTTACGAACCATTTTGTTTCCTCTATTAACTAACTTGACTCGGAAATTGTATGGACTCACTTAGAAGGGAATGCGCACTGCTGACGATTCCCGAAAAAATGAAACGCGCGTACAGTGCATTTCCGGGCATGTCATAGTGATTCTAGATGTGACGAAGTTCTACCTATACAAGTCAACTCCCCCTACTACTCCTCGGTAAGCAGTACGCAGACCAAACTACCTATAATGCAATAGGTTACTTGGCGGCTTAATTTGGTGCGTTCGTCGCTTAGTGAGGGGACTGTCCTGTTCTCTGCACGGTAGTAACGTGCAGGTCAGTGGGTAGTGAGCGGCACTATATCACATCTAGTAACTCATTCACGATGATTGTTGCCGTCCTCCGTAGCTCATTGGTCTCAACCACGGACTGGCAACAGTCAAGTTGCGGGTTCCAGCGCTACCAGGGTTCAATGGAATACGCAGTGCTGACGATTCCCAAAAGGATGAAACGCGCGGTACAGTGCTTTTCCGGGCGTGTGATGGCTGTCTGAGTGATTCTAGATGTGACGACCTTCTACCTATACATGTTATATTCCCGGCTGCAAACAATCAACTCGTTTGGGAATGCGGGTCGATCGTCTGAGGAACCCTTCGCTAGCCTGTCCATATTGTTCGCCCTCAGTACCTGATTCTTTGTCTACGCTCAACCCGACCTGCACCACGTTCGGTGAGTCTGAACTTCGTGGACGAACTTAGCCTGAGTGCCGACGAATAAACCGATCGTCTGACAGTTGGACGACATTTCGGCTTCCCGAGGAACGAATTATGGTGGCAGACTGCCAGTGTGCTTCTTGTGCCAATTTAGTGTAAACAAAGCTATTACCCTCAAATTCACATTCTTCTTCAGCTCGTCTGAAGACACCGACCTCTTTTGCCGTTCTTCTATCCCCACTAGTCTAATTGGAAAGAGTAGATTCAGCCTGATCCTGAGGTCACTACCAAAGTTCAGATTTGCCCAAGACTTACCTGTACCCTCAGTTGGTGTGGAATGATAGGCAAATATGAAACGTTCCTGTTTTGTTTGTAGGATCCCGACACGCTGTTTCAACAGTTTCCGCTTCATTGTCTGTAGCACCCGCTCTACCATTCCGTTTGACGCCGGATGCTAAGGTGCTGGTCTTATATGTTGAATCCCGTTGCTAGCAACGAATCGGTTGAACACCGCGCTAACAAAAGGAAACCCGTTATCCGTGTATTGGGTCTCCGGATTACCGAATGTGGCGTATAGTGAATGCACTTTCACAGCGGTGGTTTCGAATGTCGCTTGAGTAACGGGATATATTTCAACCCACCTGGAGTGGAACTCGATGAGTGACATGGTAAATTGGTGCTGTCTTTCGACGTCGAAGCATCTTTTACGAACGTTCCGTTGATAGAGACGTTTAATTTTATTTGTGATTACTTAAACCCAAGGAACGTAAGTGTGGATATTCCAGTGCAGAAAACGAGGGAATTAACCTTACCACGTACTTTCAGCAGGCAGTTTATATTTTATGGTACCTACTACAGACAGATCGACGGAGTCGCGATAAGGTCTCCTCTCGGACCGCTTCTTTCCAACATTTTCCTTGCTATGCTCCAACGTGGACCTGTAAAATCCATCATTTCTTCATTTGATTTCTATTGTCGATACATGGATGACACGTTTATAGTCTGTGGTACAAACCCTATGTTTCCAGCCTGTTGAACCAGTTAAACAGTGTACCTCCATTGTTGAAGTTAACCAGTGAAATCGAGAATAATGTTAAACTGGCCTTCGTGGACGCTTTACTAATGAGAAAAGAAGACGGTTCACTATGGAAAGAATTGTGTTTCGGAAAACGATGTGGGTCGGTCAACACACGCATTTGCTCAGTTTTGTATCCTTGAAGTACTAACGGAACCTTGTTCGTTGCCTGTACTTTCGTGCTGCCAAAATATGTAGCCCAGAGACCTCGGAGACCGAAAAGCACCGTATTTTCCAAACGCTGCAAGTAAACGGTTATCCAGCCCACTTCATCCGAAAGCACTCAGTGATTCATGATCGTCATGAATTGATTACAACTGTCCCCGAGAAAAATGTGTTTCTATCAGTTCCCTTTAAGGGAGATATTGCATTCGATTTGCTGAACAAAAGAGTTTCCGCTGCAGTAGCTCGAACGTTTCCAGCTTAATATCCACACATCATTGCTGAAACCATGCCGTTTGTTGTCTAACGTCTCAGACAGACTCCCGGTCTAGTCCGAATAGTATATTCTATATCAATTTGCATCTGTGGTGTAAAGTACCTCGAACATACGACTAGGCCTGTCTAAACCGATATCGGAGCACTGTGCTATGGTATTGCAAGATTTCTATCCTAGAACATCTAGTCGAAAGTGGACATCAAATCAAGGCTACTGATGCTTTCAAAGTGTATTATGTTGTTCCAAAACGCTACCCCAAGGGGCTTAGGAAACGAATGTTACGGACGGTCGAAGCCATTGCGAGCAGGCTTACACAACCTGAACTATGCAAACAGAAGCGCTTATTCAAGCGCTTCTTCTAGCCTGGGGCTAACACACTTCCAAATAGACTCCACTTCACACGCGGACAACCACCGGGTGATGCGTGCGTCATGCAATCAGTTGAAAAGCACGTCCTATGTCTCGTGAGTGTGTGTGTGTATCGATGTCTGCCTACGTATACTGTGCTAGCCGCTGCTTGAGTGGATCGACCCATTTATCGATTAAGACAGCTCACTTTCTGCCTCGCTCTGATTCGCTGATCATGATCGCGCTTCACCAGCCTATCCCGCTTCAACTTTCCAGTATGTAATCGTAAACGCCTGATGAGATTTATAGACAAGTGTGTTTTTCGCTACCTGGCGTTTTAACAAAAACATGGTTTCCCTAATCGGGCTGAAGTAGTCGTCATGGATCCGCTGCCACGACTTGTCGGGCCAGCGCCGCTGGGGATTTACTGCGCTGGTGTGCTTGAAGGTATCACAACTTTTCAGCATGTTCTCGATAACTGAATCTATCCTTGGCCACCAGCAGTACCCCCCGATAATGCTTTCATTCCCGAGACACCTGCATGTACGTCATGGGGATTGTGAAGGACTTGTGCACGATCCTTGCTCAGGAGCTCCAAACAGGAACCCCAGAACACGCAAATATCGAATGAGCTCACTTCATTCCTGTGTGCTATAAATAAACGTAAATCGGTGGTTCCTTTGGCAGGCCATCTGTCTGTTAAGAATCCTTTGATTGTTGAAAGAACTGGGTCTCGATCTGTACACTGACAGTGTGGAACTACTGATAGGCGTATCCAGATGTTTCATCAGATGAACCTATTCACAGAGAGAATCGGGCCTATGGGACGTCTCTGAAACCGGTAGATGGTTTAGGACATCAGCTGTGCGATTGCTGGTACTAGGGATGTAGGTGATTTTATAGATATATGTGCTCAACATCAGAGTCTACCTCTGCATACTTGGTGAAAATATTATTTACACACACTTGGTCTCCCCTAACAATGGGATTAATGCCTTGGGGTATGTGTGAAGTACATAATAACTCCCCTCACAGGTGTTAATAGAACCTTAACACATACACTCCGAAGAATACGGATAGGGCTTCCTTGTCTAACTGAATAGTTTCCGCTGGTTGTCATCATCATTATACACGTCAGCTAGAGGTGGTAAACATCCCAACTACTGTGCCGCAATACATAAATGATAAATGGAAAATAAATACAAAGTTGCATACCAACTTAGCTACCAGCAACGGATAGGCATCGTTCC